TTAGAAAGAGATGCGGATACTTCTGTCTCGTAAGTCTTCACGCTCCCAAGTGAATTCCGGTCCTCGCTTGGCATTCCAATAAAACTTCACTATCGGGATGCGACTTTGTTTCATGTGTTTGATCTCTCGATCTGTGATTTCGATTGGTTCTTCCACAAAGTTTAGGTTCTCATTGATCTCGATTTTATCAAGAGGGATCACAAGAGTTTCGTCGGATAAACACTTCTTAAGATTAGAGACGTGAAAGACAGGGTGGATGTTGCTAAGCTCATGAGGTAATCGAAGTTTATAGGCTACCGGACCGATCCTGGCGAGGATCTCGAAGGGTCCAATGTACCTCAGATTAAGTTTTCCACGTTTCCCAAAGCGTATTATGCCTTCCCAGGGCGAGACCTTCAACAAAACACGTTCTCCGACCTGGAACTCCAGAGGATTCTGTCGGTTATGAGCGTAACTCTTTTGGCAGTCTCGTGAAGCTTTAAATCGTTCACGGATTTGGATGATGTTTTCACTAGTTTCGCGAATGATTTCAGGACCAATGAGAGCGCTATCAGGAAATCGACTCTTGGCTAGCTGTGTGTCCCCTACCTCGGCCCAGCGCAGTGGTGATCTGCACTTACGACAGTAGAGGGCTTCAAACGGAGCAACCTTGATGTTGGTATGGTAACTGTTGTTGTACGAGAACTCGATCAAAGGAAAATGTGTGTCCTATGACTTGTCGAAATCGATGACACATGCCCTAAGCATGTCATCCAGGGTCTGGATAGTTCTCTCACTCTGAACGTCGGTCTGAGGGTGATATGATGTGCTCATGTTGAGTTTAGTTCCATGAGCCTTCTAAAGAGACTGCCAAAATCGGGAGGTAAACCTGCTATCTCGATCAGAGATAATGGACGCAAGTACACCGTGCAGTCGAAGTACCTCTTGGATGTAGATCCGTGCGAGTCTTTCTATCTTAAACGATTCTTTAATCGGGATGAAGTGAGTGGATTTGGTCAAACGAGTGACAATTACCCAAAGGGTATCGTACCCACTCAGACATTTGGGTAACTTGGTGTTGAAATCCATGGTAATCATCTCCCATTTCCACTCTGGTATCTCGGGTTGCTGGAGCAGTTCCGAGGGTTTCTGGTACTCGACTTTCACTTTGGCGCAAGTCAAGCACTTTCCCACGAATGTAGCGATCTCGACTTTCATGTTTGGCCACCAGTATTATTTCTTGAGATCTAGGTACATCTTGTCCGAACCTGGGTGAACAGAGTATCTGGTCTTGTGTGCTTCCTCCATGAAAATCTCCTTGAATTCTTCGAACTTTGGGATCCACATTCGGTCCATGAAACAGTGAATTTCGTCCTCTCTAACCTCTAGTTTCTTATCCATTCCCCTCAAGGCTTCGGTTGATTTGTTCTCGGGTTTGAGGGCTTCTATCTAGGCATCTCGGATTTGCATGGATAAGTGGGAATGAATAGTCATCGTCAGTATTCTCACTTTACGGATTGAACTTTCCTTTCGGCTAAGGGTATCTGCTACTACATTGGCCTTGTCAGGATGGTAGCGGATCTCGCACTCATAGTCACTGAGCAACTCTACCCATCGTTGTTGCCTCATGTTTAGGTCTTTCTGATTGAGGTTGTGCCGTAGGCTTTTATGGTCAGTAAAGATTGTACATTTGGTTCCGTAAAGGTAATGTCTCCAAATCTTCAGTGCAAAGACTACGACTCCTAGTTCCAATTCATGAGTGGTATAGTTGACTTCGTGCGCCTTTAGCTGTCTTGAGGCATAAGCAATTACTTTTCCTCTTTGAATAAGCACACAGCCTAAGCCCTGATTAGATGCATCACAATAGACAACGAAGTCTTCTGTCCCTTCAAGTAAGGACAGAACAGGCGCATTGCACAAGTCTTGCTTTAATGTTTGGAACGCTGCATCCTGATTTTCACTCCAACAAAAGCGTACACCTTTCTGTGTTAGAGTCGTTAGGGGTTTGGCAATTTTGGAAAAATTCTGAATGAATCTCCGATAATTGCTGGCGAGACACAAGAATTGATAGATTTTTTTGGGTATCTTTGGTGTTGACCAATTCTCTATCGCTTTAATCTTGGAAGGATCCACATGAATACCCTCCTCACTTACCACTTGACCGAGGAAAATTACCTTCCGAATCCAGAATTCAGACTTGGAAAATTTTGCGTACAACTTTTCGGATCTAAGGGTTTCCAACACTAATCTCAAGTGTTGCTTGTGATCTTCTTTGCTTCTGGAGTAAACAAGTATGTCATCGATGAACACAATGACAAACTTATGCAGAAAATGGCGACACACCCGGTTCATCAGGTCCATGAACACTGCCGGTGCATTGGTTAGACCGAAGGGCATCACTACAAACTCGTAGTGTCTATATCGAGTCCTGAAAGCTGTTTTAGAAACATCGATCTCATGAACTCGTAGCTGATGCTACCGTGACCTAAGGTCTATCTTTGAGAAGTAGTTGGCTCCTTGAAGTTGGTCGAAGAGGTCGTCTATTCGCGGAAGGGGATATCGGTTCTTGACGCTCAACTTGTTCAGCTCACGGTAGTCAATACACATCCAGAAGGATCCATCTTTCTTCTTCACCAACAAAACCAAAGCTCCCCAAGGTGAGGAAATCGGTCTGATGAACCCTTTACTGAGTAACTCTTTAAGTTGGCTGGATAACTCCTGCATTTCTGCTGGAGCTAGGCGATATGGAGACTTGGCTACGGGGGTAGCTCCAGGAATTAGGTCGATGTGAAATTCAACTTGACGTTCAGGATGAATTCTCGGAAGCTCTTCGGGAAAGACATCAGGAAAGTTGCAGACTTTGGGGATGCTCGCGAGGTCTTTAACTTCCTGTTTCTCATTGATTACATGGGCTAGGAATGCTTGGCATTCCTTTCGCAAGAGTTTCTGAGCTTGGATGCAGGAAATGATGCGAAGACTGGAGCTGAGTTTATCACCATAGATTATGAGAGTTTGACCCGTAGGAAGATTGAGACGGATGGCTTTTTTGTAGCAAAGGATATCAGCATGATTGGGACTCAACCAATCCATGCCAATCATAACATCAAAGCTCTTTATGGAGACTGGCATAAGATCGATGGGAAACGAATGATCGTTCAAGGTAAGGGTACAACCTATGAATATGTCGCTAGCGTTTTCTTTCTCACCGTTAGCCATCTCGACGGTAAGCGTTTCGGTTAATGATTAGGGATTATGTTTAAGGTTATGCTTGAACGAATGACTAACAAAACTTCTTTTGGCACCCGAATCGAAAAGAATATTAGCATAAGAGTTGTCGAGAAGGAACGTACCCGAAACAACGGTGGGATCGGCGACTGCCTCCTCCCGTCCCATGACTAGGACTCTTCCGGTATTATCAGCTGTCGCCTTCATGGGGCAATTTCTTTTGAAATGTCCGACTTGTCCAAAATTGTAGCAGGCTTGACCAACACCTGCTCCAGAAGATTGATTTGCGGATTGGACTGGTGTTTTGCAGAATCGGACCGTATGCCCCTTTCTACAACAGTTGGTGCATGAAAGTTAACGGCAGGGGCTGGGGTTATGGTGGTATTTTCACTTTTCACTTTGGGAAGGCTACTAGCATACTTACTAGTAGGTATTTGAGTTGTGGATCCCACAACAGAAGAAGCAGCAACAGGGGTAGTAGCAGCATGGACTGCTACTGTCTGCTATTTCTTTGAGGATCCTTGAGAAGATTGGCCCTTCTTCTTCTTACAAAACTTCCTTTTCTCACCACTACTCTTCGTCGGTTCAGGGGTGGTGGTTGTTTCCTCAACATCATCACTGTGGTCGATCAGGGTCTGAGCTAAACTCTTGGCGCTGTCATACGTATCCGTCTGTGCAGCTAAGACGTTTCCTTTGGTCGGTTGGGTCAGCCCCAAATAAATCTCTCTATCTTTTTACTCTCCAGGGTAACCATTCCCGGACAGAGCAGTGGCAAGTCATCAAACCTCGAGGTGTATGCTGCAATATCGGAACCTTTCATC